TGTGGATGACTCCTACATTCCAACTGCTGGAGTCTGTACCTGGCAGAAGGAAGTACCTCCTGGACACACACCCATTCTCTGCAAGCTCCTTCCTGATCAGAGTTCTCCCACACTAATTTCAGGCTGGCTTGTTTTTCTTTTCTTCTTTTTTTAAACTTTTTTTTATTGGTAGTTTTGAAAAAAGAGACATTTCCAGCTCAGGAGGCAAGGAGTGAAAGATGCTAATTAAATTATGAGAATAGACGAGATAGGCTTAAGCAGAGATGAGGAAGGAAGGGAGGAAAAGGCGGAAAAAGAAAGAAGACAAGAAGAGGGTCGTGGTCTCAAACCTGCCTTTCGAAGGATGGCCCTACAAAGAAAACCCCAACCGCCATTATTGTGGGAACCAAGTCAAGACCAGCAAGTACACAGTGCTATCCTTTATACCCAAGAACATTTTTGAGCAACTGCACCGGTTTGCCAATCTCTATTTTGTGGGCATTGTCATTCTGAATTTCATCCCCGTGGTCAATGCATTCCAGCCAGGGGTGAGCATGGTTCCAGTCTGTGTCATTCTCACTGTCACTGCCATCAAGGATGCTTGGGAAGACTTCCGGAGATACAAACTTGATAAAATCATCAATAACCGAGAGTCCCTGGTCTACAGCAGGTAAAAAAAAAAAAAAACTAAGAGCTCTGGGGAGGTGCTCTGCCTGCCACTCCTGCCAGCAGAAGGGATGGTGGCAGTGGCTCTCATAATTTTATCTCAGTTAAGTGTTTAGTGTCCAGAGTGAGGACTACAGTAGGATCCACACATGAAAGAGGACTAAGGAAGGCTTTTCAAATTAGGAAGTCTTCTTTTTCTAGTATTTTCATTGATGATGTTTCTATAGATTCTCTTTCCTGATTAGTCCAGTGTTGCTGTAGCATGTTTGACTATGGAAGAGGAATACATCACTGTTTCATGGGAGTGATGGAGCTTTGCCTTAGACTGGGAGCCTGAGGACAAACCTGGGGTTAAGTACTGTCTCCAGTCCTAACTATGTTAGGCGAGGGATGAAAATGCTCCCCGTGTCATGCTGTGATTCCTAAAACAAAAGCAATTCTAGATGTGTTCATAAGACTGACACAAAATAACACTAGGGAATGAAGACTTAGTGTTAATGTCAGATACGTAAAGATGAGCCACAGTCACTTTAAGAAAGCAAAATTCCTATCTGCTGAGCTATTGACTGCCCCAGGCTCATTCCTTATATTTCCACAAAAAATAGTCTACCTGCTTTGGTCTGGTCTGACCACACTGTTTAGTATTGCTTTAGATATACAGATATGTTGCAAAGTTTCATTGACCAGATGGCCAAACTGGGCTCTTAGGGACATATTTTAATTTGGTAAGGGAAAAAAGATGGAAATTAAAGGGGTCTCTATTTTGTGGTAAACTGTGTGATTCCAAAGGAACTAGGAGAGGTGAGCTCAGGCTTCATGAAAGAAAATAATAGGATGCTTGCTTGGTGAACTAGCAGTTAGCCATGAATGCTTGAACTGCTTGGAGATGTAAGGCTTTGTTTCTTATTAAATAGGGAAAGTCTTTCATTCTGTCACTCACAGTCATCAGTCTCTCTTTCTCTTCCTCTCTCTCTCTCTCTCTGTCTCTCCCTCTCCCTCTCTCAGTCTCTCTATCCCTTTCTCTCTCTCTCCTCCCTACACCCCACTTTCCTGGGATCAATCTAGGTCTGTCTTATTCCCTCTAAGTTTATCATCTGCATCTGCAGAGGTTTCTCTGTTGCCCTGGTCACTGGCAGAAATGAAAGGGAAGGACTTCGAAGTGTGCCCTCTAGCCAATGAGGATCTGCTAACTGAGAAGTAATGCTTCTAAGAATGAAAGCTTAGCTACTGGAACTGTATTGTGGAAGGGCTTAGGAGCCAGGTTCCCACAGAGAAGATCTCCACCAGGTGAAGCCTCCAGGGAGACTATGACAGACAAAGATCCCCTAAGTAAAACCCCATGCTCCCCACTCAGGAGCATCTTTACTGGCAGGGCCACAGTTATATGTCTAGAAAAAGAAAAGGTAATTGGAGGGATTTTTTTTTTCTTTTCCAGCTATATCTAATCACCATAAATATTGTGAGCACAGTGGTCAGCTGTAGCTGAGATGTAGACAGGCTATCAAACTGAGAGGAAGAAATAGCTACCTGGGTGTGAAGTTTTCCTGAAAGGAAGGGAAAAGAATAAACCCTTCCATTACAGGAAAAGCATTCATTTTCCACTGGTCTCAACCCACATATCTATCTTGCATTTTGTCACCACCTTCCTTCTTTGCTGTCCATGCATGGTGGCACAAAGGCAGGCAGGAACCTTGTCCCC